TCACCACGTGTGTTGGCTATGAGCTGTGTGTTCAGGGAGGCAAAGCTGGCCCGGGTGGGAATTAAAGAAGCCCAGTGTTTTAGGGCTGAAGGTTATCTTGTTTGATTTCCTCCTTAAATATAGAAAGGAGCCCTCGCCGGTTTAGCTCAGTGGATGGAGCGTCGGCCTGTGGACTGAAGGGTCCCAGGTTTGATTCTGGCAAAGGGCACAGGCCCGGGTTGTGGGCTCGATCCCCAGTGGGGGGCGTGCAGGAGGAAGCCGATAAATGATTCTCATCATTGATGTTTCTCTCTCTCTTCCTCTCCCTTCCTCTCTGAAATCAATAAAGAAATATATTAATATATATATAAAGGAACTGAGACCCGAAGAGGGGAAGGAATTGTTTATTGGTTAAGACCATGGATGTGCCTTGGTTTGGGTCCCGTCCTCGCTGTGTGATCTCAGGCCAGTCACTTAACCTCTCTGAGCCCCAGTTTCATTTCTATAAAAAGGGAGAATGGTACTACATTCATCTAGATCTGTTTGTTGATACTGAGAGTCATGGATAAGCAAGTCCTGTTGTCTGGACGTCGCGGTGGCATTAGGCCTGAGAAGTCTAGTCCGGTATAAACACCAGCCCAGCGCCCTCACTCTCAGGCAGCCCGTGCGTGGTTAACGCCGAGCACAACCCCTACATTTCTCCAAGTCCAACGGCGGACGGGCCAGGTGTGCGTGTCCTGGCTTCGGGTTGGGAAACGGGCGTGCGAGGTGAGGCGGCCAGCGGGCCTCACTCCGCAAGTCAAGTGGCCGCCAAGAATAGCACGGGCCGCTCACTGCGCCACTCGCAGTAAACACCCCGCGTGCCGCCCTTTGTCTGTTGGATTTGAAAGGGACCAAAAATATGAATCAAGGCCAAGCCAGTGGAGGAACTGACCCTGTCTGCGTCTCACTCCCGGGGGCAAGGGGCAGGCCCTGCCTGGGCGGCGCGGGCGGCAGCGCCAGGACCGTGTCAGCCGTGTGAGTGCCTGTCGGACACAGGCTCGGAGGGAGCTCATTTGCTGGGGCGTGTGTGCTGGCATCTAGTAGTTCCCACCGGCCAGTGCCAACGGGCTGTGCGCCTCTTCAGCGTCACTAGGCCCGCTGCCCCGCAGTTCGCTGGGAGAATCGGGTGTGGAAGGGCCGGGTGGTCTCAGAAAAAGCAGTGACTGAGCAGACACACGAGGGCTGTTGGAAACCAGCCCAGCTCTGCCGCTTCCCAGCTGCGTGACCTTTAGCAAGTCCATTGACCCTTTCCGAGAGTCCGTTTCCTGGTCTGTAAAAGGGGCAACGCACCACGCGATGTGATGGATGGTGACCCGAAAGGGCCGCGGCCTCGCCGGCACTCCGTTTGGAAGGCAGGCTGTGGCTGGCTCCCGGGGCACCTGCTTCTCCCAGACGTCCCGGGGCAGGTGGGCGGTCCCGCCCGGACAGCAGGCTCTCCCAGGTCCCGGCTCCTGCCGCAGCTGGCTGGGTCTGGTGTCTGTTTCATCCCAGTCTGGGATTTCTAAATTTAACCTGCTATCAGCCCGAGAGGCTGGAGGGCTTCCACCGTGAGGAAAGGCCACTAGGAATCCACTTTACTTGCAACCCCTCCCTGCACAGGCCCCTCCCGCCCAAATGTCACCCCATGTGCAGCTGCCATCCTGGTGCCCTTGCTCAGCTGCGTGGCTGCAAGAAGGTGGGGTGCCCGCGCCTCTGGGGCTTTGTCCCGCTGTGACCCAGCTCAGCTTCTCCCGCCGGCGAGGCTTGCACCCGTTCCCTGCTCACACTCATGCATGTACACACACACCCCACGCTCTCTCGCAGGCAGAGCTCAGGAGCCGACTCCACAACCGAAAGCCAAACTGCAACAGTGACTGCACCACCCATGAGCTTTCTGGGCGGAGGGCGGCCAGCGGATCCTGTTATGCAATTTCCTGCTGCCGTGGCTCCGACCCGGAGGCAGGAGGCAGGAGGCAGGAGGCAGAAGGCAGGATGCCGCTGGGCTCCTGCAGGGTGGGACCCAGAGGAGAAACCCGATCCCGATGCCCAGTGAATGGGCAATGCCCGGCAGGCAAGCCTATGGCCTGCAGTGGCCGGGCAGCCCTTCCTCAGAGGCAATGCGCCCAGCTCACTGTGGGCAAGAACTGACTACACCCGGGGGCAGGTGGGGGGAGAAAGGCATTTCCTGCCCCGGGAGCCCAGGAGGGAGCGAGCCGAAGGCCTGGGGCCTGCCTGTAACAGTCACTGGGACCGAGCACCCAACGCATGCACCACAGTGTCTGGGCTTTGGGGCCTGAGTTCCAATCCTAGACCTACTCTTCCCACAGGCACAGCCTTGGGCAGCTTCTCCCCTTCACTCTCCCTCAGTTTCCTCATCTTTGAAATGGGGATCCTGGTAACCCCGGGTGGTCGTGAGGACTCTTAGTTAACACCTGGACACCAACAGCGGGGTGTTCTGGCCCCACCAGCTAGGAGCAGGCTGCTCAGAGAGCCCATGTCCCATGCAAGGGAGGTGGGGCTCAGCAGGGCTTGGTGTCTCGCCCAGACTCGCCAATGGCTCCAGTCCATGGCCCCCTCTCAGGCCCATCCCCACTCCAGGACCCCCAAGCCCCCCGCCTCTGCCCTTTCATAGGAAAGTCTGATTAGAAGACAGGATGAACTGCAGGGCTCAGCATCCGTGCAGCCCCCCACCCCCCATCACACACACACACACACACCCCACATCAGCTGCTGGCTGAGGGCCAGGCAGAGCCACCTTCTGGATCCCGTGGCCCAGCAGCTCCCTCCTTAGGAGGACAGGTCTGCAGGTCTGTACACTCACCCCGTTCATGGGGGATTCTACTGTTTGCCAAAAAGCCAAGCTGCCCCCAGCCCTGGCCCCACCCCAAGCCTGCCCCCCTCCTCCCCACAGGGACCAGCCAGGACGCTGGTGAGGACCGAGGTCGGGGATGGCAGCGGTGGCATCGAGTGGCCTGCCCCTCCTGGGGTCCCCCTGGCCCTGAGCTCAAGCCCCACAGGTGCCCCCGAATTACGGCACCAGCAACCCCACAATGAACCACCACTTCAGAAACATCCAGACCCTGGCCAACCCTACTTTAAAATGACACTTTATTTCTCTTTGTGAATATTTTTGTTTTTTTTAAAGGTTCGTTTTACATTTTCTTCAAGAGTCTGTGCCTCCTGGTAAGTGCACTGGTTTGCTTCACAGTATTCTCCACGGTCCTTATTGCTGGGCCAGTGTCCATACGGGGGGACACAAGGGGACTGGGGACCCGGCCAGAAGCCCGGCCTGTGCTCCCGACAGGAGGGGGAGTGTCCTTGGCCGGCCCTGCAGCCTCTCAGGGTCTTGGGCAAGGCCAGGTGGCAGGGAGGGGTCGGGAGTGGGTGAGCAGGGCCAGACATGCAGGGGCCCAGGCAGAGGCAGGGGAGCCGGGCCTGCCCTCCACGGGAAGGCGCTGACCCCAGCCGACAGGGTTGCTCCCCTTCTCCAAGTCCGAGTTGGAGGGATTCTGCCCCCAAACAGCTCAGACCCCCCTGCTGTTCTTTCCACCTCCACCCCAGTGAGAGCCCCTCCGCCGTGACCCGCCAGGGCCCATTCTCCATTGTAGCACAAGAAAGACCTGAGTGCAGAGAAGGGCCCTCCCGTCCCACCCACGGGGAGCTGGGACCCAGCGCTCCCCGCCCTCACCTCGAGGCGGGGCTCACACACCCCCAGGGGAACCAGCAGCTCCGGGGAAGGCTCCCCAAGCACCAAGCGGTTTGCAATCCAGTTGTCCCAGGATAGCTGCGCGCCTGTCAGGAGCGGGGCTCAGGAGGGACTGGATGGACGGTGAGCACCCCTGAATAAATACACTGTTACGTGGGTAACGAGGGAGCGAGGACCAGGTGGCCGACGCCTCCTGTGTGGTCACTGGAGCTCCTACAGGTGGCTTGTGTGCAGAAATGGTCATTTTTCTCAGCTGATGGTTTTCTGTGCTTGTTATTACTAGTTTGAATGCGGGGGCTGGGTGATGGAGCTGTGGGCTTGGCAAGCTTGGAGGAAGGGGGCTTCAGCGGGGCACCCCCCACAGCTCCTGCAAGCAGCCTTCAAGGCAGACATCGCTAAGAAAGCGTGGTGTCCCTGGGGACCGAGTCCTGGGACTCCCGGTGCCCAGATCGAGGGGAGGGTGGCCCTCAAAGGCTGGCACACTGTCCCCGACCAGCCTCCACTGCGCTCCGACGCTGCTCAACCCTGGGCCCTGGCTTACTTCCTAGGACAGGCTAAAGCCCAGCAAGCCTTGTGCTCCCTCCATGGCTCCCTCCAGCGCTGTGTTCAGATGTCCCCTGAGAAGGAGCCTGGAGGGCAAGGGGTGCCTTTCCTCTTACCTGCCAACTAGAGCTAAACCTGGGCCCACGTGGCTGCCCCCCCCGCCGCCCCCGCATTTGAGACCAGTGTGGATGGGAAGGAAAAGGCGCACTGAGTGAGATGTGGGGGCAGACCCCCAGGGGACGATGGTGCTGGGCACAGAGGGCGGAAATGCCCGGGGCTCCACCCGCAGCTCCCAGGACCCTCCCTCTCTCCACGACTCATGAGCAAGGCAAGGCTGCGGGGAAGAGAGGAGAGGGCAGCCCCGGCAGAGCCACCTGGACGGGGGACGGGGGACGGGGGACGGGGGACGGGGGACGGAGGAGGTGGGGGTTCCCCCTGGGGCTCTTTAGGCAGCGTCTGTCTGTGGTTTTGTTGCTGCTGAAACACAAGAATAAGCCGCTGGTTTTAGGTCTGTGTCCCTGCCCCTGTCCCAAGATGCCCGGGAGGAGGGGCTCAGGGAGTCCCTCTCCTTGGGACCGAACCCCTCCCCAACCCCCCGGCAGGAGTTGAAAGTCCAGCGGAAGAGAGATCCTGCTTTAGGTCCGTTTCGGTGGTTTTCCTTTCAATTCAGCTTAAGGCAAAAGTTTGGCAAAGCAAGTCTACATAAGGCCGCGTGAGGGAGGGCGGGGGGGCGGGGGGGTGGGCGCATGGGAGGGCCCGGCACCCACGGTCAGTAAGAGCGGGCCTGTCACTCATCAGCTCCCCCTCCTCCCGCCCGCACCTCCTAGAGAGGCGTCTAAAGAAAAAGGACTGAAAGCTGTTGTGTGGGCGTCTGCTGCAGGTGAATGAAACTGAGGAGAGGAGAGGAGAGGAGAGGAGGCCAGACCCCAGGACGGGAGGGCGCACCTGGGGTTCACCTTACTCTGTCCCGCTGTCCCCCCTCCCCGCGAGGCAGCGGCTCGGAGAGGGCAGAGGCCGTCGGGCGGGCGCACAGTGAGACCCCGCGGGACAAGGTAGAACGGTTGTATTTTGCTGGATGCTGGGCGTCCCCGTGGGGCTGCTGGAGCGGTCATGGCTGGAGTCGCGGCGCCCCGGCGGCTGCTACCGGTGCTTGGGCGGGATCACCACCAGCGGCTGCCCGTACTTGGGCCGCCACATGAGGACCTGAGCGTCGTTGGCATTGGGCTTGACCAGGGCGCTGGGCGGGATGGGCTCGTTCCTGCTCAGGATCTTGGGCTGGTCCTGCGCGATGGGCTCCCGCAGGCGGGCGCGCTGGCCCAGGGGCCGGCTGGGGTTCACCTCGATGCTGAGCTGCATGCGCCAGTGCAGCGTCTGCAGGATGATCATGTCGTTGGTCGAGGTGTTGGCGGCCACCAGCCACGTGGTGAAGCTCTGGTCCCGGTAGATGTTGGTCAGCCTGGCCACGTTGCTCTCGCTGACGGGCACGGCCCACGTGACGCTGGGGTAGAAGTTGTCGTTCATGCTGATGATGAACTTGGAGTCCCTCTTGGTGGGGCCCACGATGGTGCACGTCTCCGTGGTGTTGCCGTACCAGGGGTAGTTCACCCCATCCGAGTCACTGATGGCCTGGATCTTGCCCTCCAGCAGGTCCGGGAGCTCCCAGCTGGACCTGCGGACGGGAAGGCAGTGTGCTCAGCGGCCGCCCACAGGCCTCCTGCCGCCCCTGCCCGGGGGCTCACTCCCGGGGGGCCAGACAGTAAAGAGACATCCGACATCATGGCGGCGAACAGGGGCTCCCCCAGCATCTCCCCCCCACACATAAAACCCACCGTTCTCTTGCATCGTCTCGAATTGGTCTCCCCCTGAAACCACTGCCGTCCCGCCGGCTCCCGGCTGGGCTGCGGGAAGCCTGGCTGCCCAGCCCGAGGGGATGGGGAACAGGAAGGAGAGCCCTGCCCCGCTGTGCCAGCTGCTGTTGGGACGGCCTCGTGGGACCGTGGCTGAGGCAGAGGCAGAGGCACCGAGAGGCTGGGCCCCTTAGCGCGTCAGGGGGCCTGCACGCAGACGCCGGCTGCCCGCCCCTCTGGTCCATGACTTTCTCTTGCTTTAAAGGCCACACTTCAGAGCCCAGTGGCCACGGAGTTAGCACATCTGGGATGAGTCCTGGCCCCTCCATTGACCAGTGCATGACCTGGGGCAATGCCTGCCCCCTGAGCTTCAGTGCCCTCACCTGTGAAAGGGGGTGCTTCCGGCCCCTCCTCCTAGCATGGGCCTCGGGTGTAGGAACCAGCACCCAGGGCCCTCTGCTTAGAGCAGTGGTTCTCAACCTTCTGGCCCTTTAAATACAGTTCCTCATATTGTGACCCAACCATAAAATGATTTTCGTTGCTACTTCATAACTGTCATGTTGCTACTGTTATGAATTGTCATGTAAATATCTGATATGCAGGATGGTCTTAGGCGACCCCTGTGAAAGGGTCGTTCGACCCCCAAAGGGGTCTCGACCCACAGGTGGAGAACCGCTGGCTTAGGGGCTGGCCTCTCACCTCCGTGTCTCCTCTCCCTCATGGGAGTCTGGGCTCCCAGGCCCTCCCCCAGGCCACAGCAAGCACCTGAGGCTTCCTGGGACCCAGCTGCCCCTTCCTCCCCTCCCCCCCTTCCTTTCTGCTCATGCCTGCCTAGAAGAGGAAGCACCATGCAGCCGGAATCGCCCTGCCGGGCTGGCCGGTCCCTGGAGCAGTAGGATCAAGAAAGCCTAACCAGCCCGTCTCTGCGCTCAGCCCCGCCCTTGGGAGACATCCGCGCTTCGCTGCCCAGCAGCCCGCACTGGGCTTTCGCTGCTAGAGGCCTGGGGCTCAGCCTTCCTGGGGCGGGAGCAGGCAGCCGGGGTGCCCAGGGCTCAGACTCTGGAACCCCACAGGCCTTGCTGCCAGTCTCAGCTGCCCCCTCCCTGGTGGGAGACCCCGAGCAGACACATGTCCCTGCTGGGGTCACTGAGGAAGACAAGAATGTGCCAGCCCAGGGCAGAGCACACAGTGAATGCCCGTAGCTGGTCGCTGCCAGCACCACTGCCGTCACTACTGTTGCTATAACAACGCTCAGCCCGTCCGAGCTGCTCCGAGGACACAGCAGTGTCTGGGAGCCCCCCTTAGGGACGCATCAGCAGTCACGTGCCCCACTGCACAGGTGAGGAGCGCAGCCGGGCCCGGGCTTTTCCCAAGGTGACCGGACTAAGCAGTGGCACTCGGACCTGGGCAGCCTGGCGTGGTCCAGGGCTGGTTCCGCCCGGCCCGTGATGCCAGCTCAGGACGCTGGGCCCCCAGAGTGCTGCACACCCGCACTCGCCACCGGTGCCCGGGACCCTGCCTTGCCCGAGCGTCCCTGCTCGCAGCAGCAGCATTCGCGGCAGCCCAGAGGCGGGAACAGCCAGTGCCCAGGGCGGGTGATGGACAAACCTGTCCATCCACACGATGGAGCATCATCCAGCCGTAAAAGGAGGGAAATTCTGACACCTGCTACAACACGGAGGAGCCCTGAGGACGTGATGCCGGGGAGTAAGCGGACACAGAAGGACAGACACTGTGATTCCACACACACGGGGTCCCCGGAGGAGTCAGTTCACAGGGACAGGAAGCAGGATGGTCACCGGGGGCTGAGGGTTTGTGTTGAATGGGGACAGAGTTCCCGCCTGGGATGAAAGCGCTGGAGATGAGTGCACAGCCATGTGCGTCTGCTTAATGCCACTGAGTTAAAAATGGCCCAGATGGAACTTTCATGTATATCGCATCACAATAAATAAATGCATTCCTCTATGGAAACACATCATGCCACGTTCGCAGTTAGCAAAGTTGGGGACGCTATCGGAGGAATGATCACCGACGTGACTTGGCTCGCTTTTGGTTTTCTCCATCTGCCTCCTGTTTATTTGACTGAAAGTCACACATTAGGATGGCACCTGCCTGGGTAGCCATCTCCTGCCCAGGGCCTTGAGTTCATCTCTCGGAGGGAACCTGGGCAGCAGCTCAAATCACCTCACATTTCCCAAGTGCCCACGGGTCCCCACGATCTCGCCGCTCTGCTCTCCCAGCCCCGCCCGCTGCGGCGGAGGCCCGCTTCGAAGGCACCCGCTCCGTCCGCTCCCAGTGGTTACGTGCGCTTGCAGAAACATGGTAGAAGGCAGAAAGCAAACTTGCAAAAGGAACTTGGCACTTCCTTGGCCCCCTTTCACTTCCTGAGCTGGCTTGTTTGGGGAGTGGGGACTTCCCAGTATCACCACGGCTTCCCTCTCTGCCTCTGACCCCAAATTCCAAAATGCCTCTCCTCCCCCAGCCCCCAAAGGCTCAAGCCCCTGCTCAGCCAGACAGGTGACGGTCCTCATGAGCTGGCAGACAGCGTGTCTCGTGGGCTCTTACTCAGAACCAGGGCCAAGGCATCCGTTTCCAAGTCATCGCCAGCCAGCCTGGCCTGGCTCAGGTCCCACGGCCGGTGTGCCCATCGTGGAGGTGGGAGGGAGGGAGGTTAAGGGCACGGCTTCTGGGGGCCACAGGCCAGGCCTGGGTCTAGTCTCAGTCTGGCACAGATCAAGTCGCAAATCTCTGAGTTGGGGGTCACCATCGGTCCACTGTGGACAGCCCCGCCCACCTTGCACGGTCTGGGGGTGACCACATACATTGATGTCTGTTACCTGGTACACAGTAAACCAATTCATAGAGACCTCTGGGACCGCCGGAGGGAGGTGTCAGCACTTAGGCTCTGCCGGCCCTGATTTGACCTCACTTGTGGTTTCAGACTCCACGTGCTCTGCAGGGAGTGGATTCCACGCAGTTGGGCCTCCTCTGAGATTTCCTGCTGGTTCTGGAATGACCTTGGGCATCAAGGCCGACCTTCAGTGCTTTGCCCACAGGGCGGAGTGGGGGCTCGGACCCCCTCCCTGCACACACTGAGCAATACAGTGTCTGACTCGCAGATGCCACCAAAAGGGGTGAGTAAGCAAGGCTCCCAGCACCAGGCCTGGCACAAGTGCACAACCGACGGATCTGCTTGGAGGTGGGAACACGCCTGCTCCTGCCCCAGGTCCACAGGCCTTGGTCCACCTGCCCCACCACCTTCTCTCCAGACCCCGGCTGTGCTGGGTCCTTGTAGGTGTAGGAAGGCAAAGGACAGCAGGGAGTCCAGGCTTGGCGCCAGACCTCAGCCGCCTTCTGGGCCCCCCCATCACGTCAGAAAGGGACCCCTCGGCTTCCCTCCACACCCAGCTCCGTCTGCAGTCCCCACCAGCACCCACCCGAGAGTTTGCAGAGCACCCGTCACTGACGCTGGCCACAAGCTGAGAGAGAAATGGACAGGGTGCCGCCCTGGTCCGCAGAGATGGAGGGGGCCCCGTGCCCTCCAGCCCCCACCATCCCTGACTCTCCCTCCTGCCTTGGGACAGTCCCCCTTCTCCCTGACCTCACCCCAGCCAGCAGCCCAGGCCTCCCAGCCGCCCCTCCCGCCCCATGCAGAAGCCTGAGTGATCTTTTAAAAACACACTAATCGCACCATCCCTCCCTCCAACCCTGTCACACCTGCCATGACTCTCCATGGCCCTTAAAGCCGATATCATTGAAGCCCAGGTCCCATGCACCCACGTGTGTGGGCACAAAACACACACACACACTCACACTCACCCTCTGCAGACCCTCTAACCCAGCGGTTCTCCACCTGTGGGTCGCGACCCCTTTGGCAGGCGAACGACCCTTTCACAGGGGTCGCCTAAGACCATCCTGCATATCAGATATTTACATTACGATTCATAACAGTAGCAACATTACAGTTATGAAGTAGCAACGAAAATAATTTTATGGTTGGGTCACAACATGAGGAACTGTATTTAAAGGGCCAGAAGGCTGAAAACCACTGCTCTAACCATTCTCAGTTCCTCTAACACCGTGGTCGGCAAACTGTGGCTCATGAGCCACATGCAGCTCTTTAGCCCCTTGAGTGTGGCTCTTCCTAAGCCTTAGGAGTACCCTAATGAAGTTAATAACTCTGTACCTACCTATATAGCTTAAGTTTAAAAAATTTGGCTCTCAAAAGAAATTTCAATAGTTGTACTGTTGATATTTGGCTCTGTTGACTACTGAGTGTGCTGACCACTGCTAACGGGCCCCCCCTCCCCCACCCCCCGTGCTCCTGGGCGGTGCCCCTGGCTCAGCTCTGAGTCCCCAGGAAGCCCACCCTCACCCTCCCACGAGGCCGATGCCACGCGGTGCTCCTGCTGCTGCTTCCTGGCACACTCACGGGGGATGAAATAATCACACGGTCATTGTTGAGGATCTCGGGAGGCAGGGCCAGACCTCAGATTTACCCTGGAGCCTGGACCAGTGCCTGTGGGCAGGGCGGAGCCCACGGGTCCCTCACCCGAAGCTGCGCTGCTGGTGCGCCCCTTACACATACAGAAACACAGACACAGAGATGTCCACACACATGCACATATGCGCGCGCGCACACACAGCTCTGAGCAGCACGCCTGACTGAGAACGCGGGTCTGAAGGGGTTACAGCAGGACCTTCCCTGGAGCTGGAGAAGGGGTTGAGGCTGCTGAGGCCACAAGGGCTGGGACGGTCACCCTGTGGCTCCAGGCCCAGCCACCGGTCCCAGCAGCCCCAGTGCAAGGCCTCTCAGGAGAGGGCAGGGGAAACCAGGGAGGCCCGAGGCCCAGGGTATGCGGGGGGAGGCCCTCCGGGGACCACGGGGCACACCCCTGGCTCCTGCAGACCCAGCCAGCAGGGTGGTGAGCCTGGGGGCCCCTCCCCGTGGGTGTGGGCGGGACTCTGACTGCGGACCCAGCCCCCTCCGCCTGAGCAGTGAGCCGACTTCCTGTCTCTTCACTGGGGTCCTGTGCGCACACACCTGCATTGTTTTCCTTCAAATCAATCACTTTTTAAAAAACTCAACTCAACTTTTCCTAAGAAATACCTTTGAAATAACAAATACGCTAAATACATATCGATATATTTTTTCTCATACATATTAAAATAAATGTGCTGCTTTAAATTCAAGTGGCACTAAGCTGACACTAGTCTCACGGTGCCCGCTGGGCACTGCGACAGTCCCGGGAGGACCGAGGCCGCGGCCTGGGGCCGCCCAGCTCCTGCCGGCTGGTTTCCGGCCCCGGCTTGGGCCCGACGGGCACCCAGGGATGGTCTCGCCTCGTCCTCAAGAAAACAGTTTTGACAATTTGCAAAAAGTTCAAATTCTGCAAATTTTTGCAATTTTACAGAAACGGAGGCCCAAAAGCCCCCCTAAAGCCAGAGTGGGACCCGGTTTCCTGACTTCTGCCCCAGGCGGGTGGGCACCCACCAGGCTGGCCCCCCACCAAACGGGTCACGAACACCTGCTCTCTGGGGGAGGGGCTGCAGTGCCCCCCTCTCCCCACCTGCC